AGTCCCACCATCGGCTGCCATCCGTGCGCGGAAAACTGCAACCGCCGCCGTGCTGCTGCTCCGCGTAAGAGGTCGCCGCCCGCCGCGAAAAGATCCCGTGCGCCGGCTTCTTCAATTCGGCCGCGTGTGTGTGCCGGCACAACGCCCAGTCGGCGCCATTTTTGCCATCGCCGTTGCGCACTGAGGCTCCTGCGCGCGCTGCTCTGACGGCCCTGGCTGCGCGTGCTGACCTCGACGGCCTCCACCGCTTGCTGCCCTCCCATTCCCACCGCCGGATGTCGTCCAGCAAGGTGAGCACGCAAGACTGGTGTCCTTGCTTTCACTGGTGTCCTCCCATTCCCACCGGCGGGCGGCGACCTCTTACGCGGAGCAAGAGTACTGTAGCAGCGGCTCAGCAGCGATTCCGAGCACCTTCGAGATCCAGCAAGTGCTCTGTTTGTTGTTTGCAAAATGCAGTTTATCTAAAACTATGGCTCACTGCTTTCACTTCTAATAAAATTGTATGCAACCGCTAAAAGTTTTTTTGTTATTATTTTTTTTCCAGATACTGCTAGTGCCTCAGGGGTATATAGGTCAATTTACATCCAGGACAGATAATCTACCAGAAATAATCGGGACAGCCAAACACCCAGCTTATTCAGACAGCAGATTCTCTAGATCGTGACTTATCAGATAAGCCTGCTCAGCTTATAAGTGAGACTCGGAAACGCTCTCCCAAACAGGGCCAAAGTTACCTCATCTGAATCGGTCACTATACGTTATTGCTTATAGGAACCATTATCACCTTCTTGCTCCCACCGATTGTTGGCGTCAAGATCCTGTGGAGGAAACGAGTTCTGGCAGAACTGGATACACGGCCAGGGCGGAGAGGCATCAACCCATGGCCTCCGCCTCCCATCCCTGTAGGAGTGAAGTGGGAAGCAGATCCCTGTGGCAGATGGCCGGTTCCCGCGCCGGTGTTGAGGGACTTGGAGCGGCGACCTCCTCCGCGCGCAACCAGAGATCCACCACGGCTGGATTTGCCTCCCCCATCGCTCGGACAAGGAGGCTGAAAAGCTCCATGGCCGAATCTGCCGCCATCAACCATAGGAGCAAGAGGAGGTAGCCGTGGCTCGCCATGACCTCCCTCCAACTGCAATAGCCCTGAGTAGGTGTTCATGAAGGGGTAGCCATCACACTGGTAGTTCAGATCAAGGTTCTCCATGCCAACCCTAGGAGTAGAGAGGATGGGGGCGTCGGAGGATACGATGCCATCTAAGAAAAAATGGTGAAGTCCTCGTCTTTGGGACCGGCGACAGAATAATGGAAGGGGGGCGGTGAAGAAGAAGCCTGGGAAAAGTAGTCCCTGTAGCCGCTCCGGTGTCGGTCCATGGTGGATCCTCGGTGGGGAGGAGAGGGGCGTCAATGCCGATGATGGGAGGAGCGTGGGCACTGGCGCTGGCGGCGACGTAGCGAGCAGTGGTGGCGGCGGTGGGGCGGGCAAATGAGAGAGAAGAGAGAGAGAGAGAGAGAGAGAGAGAGAGAGAGAGAGAGAGAGAGCAACCTAGAGGAGAATGGGGAGCGCGTGGGCGGATGCGGGAATTAATTAGGGGTAGCCCATGTCTATTGTGCAGTTTAGTCCCTTTTAGCACCTTCTTGAGGTACTAATGTGACTAAACAACTTTAGTCACGTTTTAGTCAGTTTGTTTGGCATTTTAGTCACTAAAGTGACTAAAGTTTAGTAGCTAAAGTTTAGGAGGGGTGAACCAAAGAGGCCCTTAGCACCTCCTTGAGGTACTAATGTGACTAAACAACTTTAGTTACATTTTAATCAGTTTGTTTGGCATTTTAGTCACTAAAATGACTAAAGTTTAGTAGCTAAAGTTTAGGAGGGGTGAACCAAACATGCCCCGAGACCACCTGAATCATCCTCACCGGCGCCCCCAGCGAGGGATGCCTTGTCTCTTTGCCCGTGCAGGTCGAAGGATGCCGTGCTGTCCTAAGTTTCGGTTATACTTAGATATCTTTTTATTGCTTTACAGGTAATATGCTTTGGCTCTCCTCTACATCATTTTGGGATCACAAGCTTCAAGGTAGTATTGATAAAGAGAAGATGTCTGAACCCGGTAAACATGGACACCTTAATTGAGCTCCTTTTAATGTATTCTCTTTTTAGTGAACTGGGCTGACCGAAAGCTACACTCGCTGCACTAAATTTGTTTAAATAACCACATTGTGCTTGTAAATAATGTGTTCACATGAGCGCTTGTAAATAATGTGTTCACATGAGCTTGACAGCTTTATGTATGTATATCCAGTATGGAGTTTTGCTACGAGGCAGAGGACCTTTCATTGAGTTGCAATGTTTTCAAGTCGTCCGATTAATCACGATTACTCGTCCTAATCGGTCCCTAGTGTTTGATTAAGAGGTCCGACTCGATTAGCTCGACTAGAAAGCTGGTCATCCGATTAGTTGACGACTAATCACGTCCGACTAGGCCATAGACGACCAGTGTGGCTGCTCTATTTTTTTGGGCTTGTTCAACCGGGCCTATATGTAGCCTATTGGGCTTCCAATTTGGCCTATTAGGGTTAGAATAGGCACCCCAAAACACCGGAGGCACGCAGGCACGGTGGCAAACGTAGGACGACCACAATTTTTCCCCGCGCGCCTCCACTCTCCCACGCACGCGTTTCCTGCCTCCCGCACGCGATTCCTCCCCTTCCCGCGCGCGATTCCCTCTCTCTTGTGAGCTATTCTCCTCCCTCGTGTGCTATTCCCCTCCCTCGCACGCTATTCTCCTCTCTGGTGAGCTGTGAAGCCAACGGCGCCCTCTGCCAGGTCAAGTGGCCGCGGTCTTCGTGATGAGCTGCTCCGACGACGGTATGTGCCTTTCCCCTCTCCATCTTCTTCCCTCCTCCCCCATCCCTCACTCTGCAGCCTCTCTGGCTCTCTGCTAGACTGCTAGGTTGTTTGCTGTGCTATACTGCTGTCCCTCTGCTATTCTCTGGTTCCAAAGAAAAGAGAAGCAATCCACTCTGCTAGACTAATCGGCCTGGTCGACGAGTAATCGCAATTAGTCGCCTGGTCGGTCCCATGGCGACTAGGTTCGACTAGACGACTTGAAAACATTGTTGAGTTGTAGCTGCAATATAAAAAAGTTGGGAATTATATGTGTGAAATTATGTTTGTTTGTCAGAAAAGTGTCTATATGAAAGTTATCACATGAATTCGATCGTGTTTTGGGTTTTACCGTGGCGTTAGCACGGGCATACTACTAGTCAGAAGTAAGTGGCTCTAGGTTGTAAACATCACCAGCTTCTGTGCCAATTTCTAATTTTCGGGTAGTTACTATTATTCTACTTCCACAGTTATTCTCAAGAAGAGCCAATTTAGTTATTTCCCACAAGTGTATATCCCATATGTCATCAATGACGATAAAATATCTGTTCATGTGACATCGCAAGAGAGTTGAGTTAGTAATGTTTCCAGAGCATCTACATAAGCAGGTGCCTGCCAAAAACAAGAATCAGAAAATTGTTACTGCCTAATATAAGTCAAATTCTCTAATTTTGATCAAGTTTTTAGAAAAGTATATTAACATGGAGAATGAGGATTGGGCTTCACATTTTAGGGAATAAGATGATGATGCTGTTGGAGCACGACCTTTCAGCTTTATTTGCTAAAAGCGATGATGGCGAGCTAGATTGGCACCCTTTTAGAGATGCTCTAACACCCAAACCCATGCAACCTCGCATAAGACCAGCAAGGGGATATTTAAGTTGAATTCAATAGTTAAGGCATGAATAATACCCCCTCCGTTTGTGAATTATGATGTTCCTTATATGGACTTTGTTTGTTACGTTACAAAAAATGCTAATAATCTAATGATGTTATATTCGTAAAACCGATCCAAATAATTCCTCTAAAAATAATGGATAGAGAGGCTTGGCTGAGCTTTGCAAGAAGATATCTACAAAGATGGGGGGAAGAATCCTCAGAATTGCCTGAACGTGAACCTTTTATACCCACGTAGGAATTAAGTAGGACAAGAACTTGGATGAAATTATATAATTACTTTGCAATCTTAAATTATTGCAAATCAAAGTACGCATAAGCCATCAAACTCAACTTTAAAATATGGCTCAAAGAAAAAAAAACTAATCACATCTAACCCAGTCCATAATGCAGGTAAGAAACAATTTGAATAAGAAATGAAAATTGAAATGGATGACTAGAACAATTGTAATTCAACAAAGTGTTGTTTGTAAATGAAGCACAAATATATAACACTATTAGAATCAATTAAATCTGTGAAGTATTGGTTCCAAATTCTACAATGTAATTTAATTGATTTGGCATGAAAAAGTCACAGTGTCCAAGTACTATTAGGTGAGGCATGAGTTAAGTAGTGTTACCTTTTACTGGTAAGAAATTCACGTAGTGACTTAATGAGCTGAGTTTCATCCCATACTGCAAAATTAATGTTCTCATACTTTTGCCGGTCAAGCTCAAGGAGAATGTTTTTTGAGAACATTCTTCACATCAGGATTCTGACCGACGGAAATAAAGGCTGAACATATGTACTGCACTTTAAGCTTGTCATACACTGTTTTGGCAAGAGTTGTCTTGCCTAATCCTCCAACTCCAACAACAGAGATGATCTTCAGTCTATTCGTGGACACGTCGTCTCATCTGGACAACATCATTGTTAGCTCATCCATTGCCTTGTCAATGCCAACAAGCTCGGACACACTTTCGAACAGAGCTGACAAGCGAGGATCAACAGACGTCGCGGTAGGCTTAGCGACAATGTTGTCAATCTTATACCTATCACGCCGTTCCTTCACTTCCCTGACAAGGCTCTTGATGCTTTTCATATCAGCAGCTAGTTTGTGGCGGATCCTGACCTTGGAGAGCAGGTACAGGGCCCTGCGATGAACCCCTTGATGTGGTGCGGCTTGGCTTGCTTCTTGCTCTCCAGGCGCACTAGGAAGGTGCCGACGCTGTCCTCGATGTCCTAGGACATCTCGCGGACATCTCTAGCCCAAAGTTTCACTTGCTTGTCGAGCTGGTCTGCCGGTACGTCGGACACCTTCTCAAGGGCGGCTTGCATACTCTCGAGCTCGGCTATGAGGAACTTGATCCCTTCCTTCACGCTCTTCTGCAGATGGTACTCTTCTTTCAGGAGCAGAACCAGCTTGGGGAGAAGGGTACCCATCGTCCTCGCGGCGAAGTCCATGATTGATTACTCCTAACTCTCTTCCAGCTAGCCTTCCGGACGGAATGGCCACCACAGATGGTGACGACGATCACAGGCCAGCGTGGTGAAATGCCGAGCAACCTTGTACAGCGGTTATGGCGAAGGCGGCCAAGACCACGCCAGCTTAGATCGGGCAAGAACTGAACGCTGGAAACTCGGAGTCCGCTAGATTCCAACTGTGCCTGCGGCCGCGCGCCATTGACCTTCGGCGGTAGTGGCGATTGTGAGGAAAAAAGGGTTAATGGGATCGGTGCCATTATAATTCTCGCATTTCTTAGAAATACCATTATTATTAGTTTTATTATAAGCGTGACATTACAATTACACTGAAGTCTGAAAAATACCATTATGTACACTTGTCGCGACCTGTGGCCCACATGTGTATACAGTGCATATGTACAGTCGTATGGACCCTTTTGCCCCAGCTTCTCCATACACTCGCCGCCTCCGTGTTTGACTGGATCGAATCAATCCCCATCCATTCCCCACCGCCTCATCTCTCTCTCGCTCGAACCCTAGCTCGTCGGCCGCGGAGGCGATTGCAACCGGCGACGGCGACGACTACTGCTCGCGGTGGCGGCGACCGCGACTACCGTAGGCGCCCGCGTTGACCGCGACTACTGCTGCTCCTTCCCCACCCCATCTGCTGAGCGGAGGCGACTGCGACCGGCTGCGGCGGCGGCGGCGACCGCGATCGATGGTAGTCGATTGAAGATCATGGTGCAAGCTTGAGTACTATGGCGGTCGTGTCCTCCATGGAGGACGAGGCGCATGGTAACCGTGCTGCAGCAATAGACGACAGCATACCGAGGTATGCATCTGAAACCATTTCGATCTGACATGACTTTCCATCGACGAATAGGCTAGTTGTTACTGCAATTTGTTGTAGAACTCGTTGACTTCTACTTACTTCCTGCTAGGACTGACCTCTTCTCGCTAGAGATTAAAGTTGAAGGTTTCAATACAACAGATGTGTTGGGTAGGAAAGTTTACACAAAAGGTTCTGTGATTAAGTGGAATATCGAGATAGGGTCGTTTTCTTTAGACTTGTTGATGGAAAGCTTGTGGAAAGAAGTTAAATGGGCCTCTAACCAGTCTGCATCTCTGTGGTTCTTTGACAAAAATGTGCAAGAAGATGTCAAATTAGTCAGTGACATTCAGATGATAGATTTGTTTGACATGTATAAGTCTGAAATATGTTGCTGTGTGTTGGTAGGAGTCTTTGATAATGTTGTTTCTGATGCATTTGAGTATGAGTTGATAGAGTCTTTATGTGTTATTCCACCTGATGATGGAGCAGTCAACCCTACTGATTTCAATCCTGATGCAAATGCTTGTGCTGCTGCCATTCCAAATGCAAGTGCTTCTACTGCTGCCATTTCAAATGCAAGTGCTTCTACTGCTGCCATTCCAAATGCAAATGCTTCTTCTGCTGCCATTCCAAATACAAATGCTTCTTCTGCAGCCATTCCAAATGCAAATGCTTCTTCTGCTGCCATTCCAAATGCCCAAGCTTCTACTGATGCCAATCTTTGTACTACCGATAAGTCGAACGTAGAGCCTGATAGGGAGCCAGACATCTTTGACAATGAAGAGGAGTATGTTGGGGTTGATGATGAGCACATCTACATTTTAGTACCACCTACACACCCAGCCAACACTGACAGTGCCCAACCATCTGTTGATAATGTTGATCCTGTTGTTACTGATGGAGGTGCTCCTCTTGAGGAAGAAATTGATGATGCAGATCCCTAGGAAATAAATGTCCTCCACGATCCTAAAAATCCAAAGATTATCAAGGGACAATTGTTTCCTGACATAGTAACATTCAGGAAAGCTATTATACATTACGTTGTCAAGAAAGGTTTTGAGTTAGCAAAGTTGCAAACTGACAAGACAAGATTCATTGCACATTGTGCTGCCGAAGGGTGCCCATGGAGAATTCATGCATCTAGGATTTTTTATAAGAAAACAATACAGGTTGGTGTGATCCTTTTCTTACTGTTTGTAACTTATTCAGTTATACATATGATATTCATCTTAATTTCTTATGTAGATTAAAACATTGCCTGTTGAACATAATTGTCCCACTACAAAGCTGAGGGAGGGAAAGATGGCTAGTCAAGGTTGGTGTGCTGATAGGTTGGCGGACTGGGTCAAGAAGAACCCAAATAAAGGAGCCAAGGATGCAAAGGAAAAGCTAGAAGGAGACTATGGCATTAAACTGAAATACTCCAAGGCATGGTCAGGTTTGAAGGTTGCCCTACAACAAGTTCATGGGAAGTACTCAAAAAGTTTTCAGCTATTGTTCAATTGGAAAGCACAGATAGAAATAAGTTATCCTGAAAGCATTGTAGAGATAGAGTTAGAAGGGAAGAAGAAGAAGCGCTTCAAGAGGATTTTTGTAGCCCTGAAGCCATGTATTGATGGCTTCTTAGCTGGTTGTAGGCCATTTATAGGTGTAGATGCATCTACATTGCATGGCAGATATACATGGCAGTTGGCATCAACAACTGCTGTGGATGGGCACAACTGGTTATACCATGTGGCATATGGTGTTTTTGATTCTGAAATAGAAGACAATTGGAAGTGGTTCATGCAGTAGTTGCATAGAGCAGTGGGTTCACCTACAGGTTTAGTCATATGTACTGATGCTTGTAAAGGACTTGAGAAGGTTGTGGGTGTAGTGTTCCCTGAAGTGGAGTACAGAGAGTGTATGAGGCACATGTACAACAACTTTATGAAGCATTATCAAGGAGATGTGTTTACTGACCACCTATACCCTGCTGCAAGGAGTTACACAGAAGGGTTGTTCAGGTGGCACATGCAGAAGATAGCATATTTTGCCCCAGATGCCATTGACTTCCTTCAGCAACATCACAAGTTGATATGGTACAGGTGTGGATTTTCAGAGCTAAGTAAATGCGACTATTTGACCAATAATGTTTCTAAGAGTTTCAATGCACAGATAAAGCAGTTGAAAGGACTTTTGCTGCATGAACTGGTAGATGGGATTAGGGAACTCATAATGGAAAAGAGGTACTTAAGAAGACAGATTGGTAAGGATATGCATGATGGTATACTTCCCAATGTCATCAAAGACCTGAACACTATAAGCAAAAACCTCAAAGTTGTGAAGGTTGCAAGAAGTGATGAAGGCATAGCTGAAGTAACACTTATAGATGACTGGAACAACCATAAGAGGCACATGGTTGACCTGCAAGGTCACTCCTGTTCATGTAGGGAGTGGCAAATCACAGGAAAACCATGCAAACATGCCCTGGCATGGATTCTTTCCAACAGAGGAATTAAAATAGCAGATTTTGTGCATGAGTACTACTCTGTTAAGAGATTCAGGACTGCATATGCTTCTAGAGTTGAGCCATTGCCAGATAGGTCACAGTGGCCATAGGTTGACCTAGGCTTCAAAGTTTTCCCTCCTCTACTAGGTAGAGCTATAGGTAGGCCGAGAGTGGTGAGAATTAGAGGTTGCCTTGAGAGAAATGCTACCAAGAAGAAGGTTAGGTGTAAAAGGTGTGGAGATTTTGGGCACTTCTCTAAGACTTGCAAACAACCAGAGCTAGGAGAAGATGGTGAAGTTAGACTGAATTCAAAGGAAAAAATGTAAAATGATTTGTATGTCTCTTTCCAATTCTTGTGACATTCCCTAGTTTTTGCTAATCATAGTGTGCATCTGTAGGAAAAGGCAATAGTTGGAAGATGATGACAGTGCTGGACCTTCACAAATGAAGAAGAAGAAGACAACACCTAAGAAGAAGGGTGCACCCGAGAAAAAGAATACACCTAAGAAGAAGAAGACACCTAAGAAAAAGAAGCAACAAAAAAAAGCTGCTACTCCAGCAGCTAGTGTTGTGAGAAGTCTGAAGGACTTCTTAAACATCATGTGATATGTTGTGATCACAAGCATGAAATTAGTTTCTTTTGTGGCCTGAATGTTATGTATGCTAGGGCCTGAACTCGATGTCTGTTATGGTCTTGAACTCGATGTATTGTAGGCCTTGAACTTGATGTATGGTACGGCCTAAACTTGATGTATGCTAGGGCCTGAACTCGATGTCTATTATGGTCTTGAACTCGATGTATTGTAGGCCTGAACTCGATGTCTGTTATTTCGTACTACTTTGTGCTATATCGACCACCTGGTTCTCTATAAAGTACTGTTGATTTGTTCTTTTCTTTGCATCTTTGGTTATGTTTCTTGATTGGAATGGACAGGGCCTCCCTAAACCTTGGATCTGGTAACTCCTTGAAACACCTTGTCACTGGAGCACAGTTTAGCAAGCAGTTGAGTACAAAGGTTCTGCCATTGGCACACTACTGTATTCCAACTTGTATTGCTGGAGTGGAAGGTCCTGAAAACCCACTGCTTGCATGATGTCTCCATCTTCACTGAAAGAGACTGATGAGGAGTCATCAATGGATCTTGGTCTCAATTTTGATCTTTGTCTTGGTCATGATACTGCACATCATCACAAGAAGCCATGTGCTGAGCACCCCCCATCAGCAAGTGCTCCAAAATTGGATCTTCAGTTGACTTTGTCCACTTGTTCGCCTGAATCAGCTGTGACCAATGCAAGTACTGCATCTCTGCCACCAAATGCTACAGCTCAAATGATATGGTCCAAATTAAATAGATGAGAATGAGTGGCACCCGAAAAACAAAGTGGGCAAATTGATTCACAGATTCACAAAACCTACATAAACATACATTCCTCGATCACATATACACAGTTACACAGACAAAAATAAACAAAAATTAGTAGTAGCACTTGACAACCTACAGGCTAAGATCACTAAACTCCAAACTACTGGAACCAAGGTGCATACTACTTTATTTCCAAACTGCTGCAACTAAGAGGCTTACAAACAGATTTAGCATCACCACAGCAACTAATGCATTGCCTAAGCTAAAAGCCCTGTTCAATCCTCCATTCTTCAATTCTTTCATCTCCTGCTCC